GCACGTCAGCCCGAGTTTATTCTGCTACGTTTGACGCGCCCGCTTAAAACTACAAAGTGGAGCTGTGTCGGATGGGAAAAAGCAGTTGTTTGGCTTATTGAGCGCCGGCTGGGCTCGCCAAAGGCTCCCCGAGTTGGGTTGGCCACCGAAATCCCAATGCGTGATGCTTCATGCCCATCGCCGAGCCCTTTCACTCCGTCTTGTCTCCGCAGAGCTCCTCCTGTCCGGCAAACTCAGTGAGTATGGTGTGATCGTCCCCTTCAGCGCCGATTGCTGGGGTCGCTTCCTCTCGCACGTGGTGTCCGGCGACGCGGCAGTGGGGATCAGTGAAGCTGCCTGTCCCCCGGCCCCCCGCCCGTCCCACCACCGTGTCCCCCGCAGCCCCCTGGATGAGTCCCCCCAGCACCGTGGGGCTGGTGGCCGCTTGCTCTACTTCAACGTCACGGTTTTTGGGAAGGAGCTGCACCTCCGACTGAGGCCCAACCGGCGGCTGGTGCCACTGGGCGCCATGGCTGAATGGCAGGAGGATTTTGAGGTGCTTTTCCGGGAACCCCTCCAACAGCGGTGCCTTTTCACTGGTGACATCTCTGGCATGCCTGGTGCCGCCGTGGCCATAAGCAACTGTGACGGACTGGTAAGCTTGAGTCTGGCATGTCGGTTTGTGCATGCTGCCGGTGTTTTTGGGGTGGTTTTCTCTAAAGAGGTAAATTGCAGTGTCCCAAAACCTGATTTTTTAGTGGTGCGTTAGGTGGCTGCACCGTACAGTGCCCTTCACTGACTGGCTGCTGCGGGTTCCGTTTCCCCACGTGCCTTGTGGCATAAGCAGGGCAGGGCGCTACATGTGTGAGTGCTCCGTCCTTCTGCTATATGTGCTGCTATATTTATTTAAAGGGGTTGAAGAAGTTGCCTGTCCCGTGCCTGAGCTGCCTCCTGGCTGGAGGTGGAGTGTGTCAGATGCCCACAGGCTCTGCCCTGCCTGTGGGATGGGTACCTACACTGCCGGTGCTGCTGCTGCATCCTGTGTTTTATCTTGGGACTGCTTCAGGAACTTTGTCTCTGCATTTCCCACCTTTTAAATGAGGCTGAGTGAGCTCGTGCATCTCCTGAAATCACTGCTGGCGTGCGGTCTTGCTCCCACTAAGCATCTTTTTTTGGGAATTACCTCTTTTTTTACTAATAGCTGATGTGTTCACAGCCTCTTGGCTTTCTGAGTGCAGGGTGAGCACCGTTCAGCATCGGTAACTTGCTGCCACAGCACTTTAATTACTTAAATGGCTCTGTTACCTCTTTAGCCCCTGCGTCTGCTCTGCCCACGAGTTTCCTACCTTCGATACGCTTGAGGAATCGCTTCTTATTTTTTTTATACCTTTGGCCTATTGCCCTTCAAATTTCCTTTGAGCCAATTTAATTCTTGGTTTAGGTGCCAGAATTTGCTCTTTTCTCCTGGTACCACTTATGTTACTCCTGGGTCAGAGTAAATGTCTTATTTTGCCTTTTTTAATATATATATATATATATTTATTTTTTGGTTGCTTTATTCTGAGAGTCCCTTAAGCCAATTTTGGCTGCTAGCACAAACAATTTGGCATTCCTTTCTTTTTATACAGTGCCTGGTGTTACTATTCAAGCAGAAATGATAGAGCAGCACAGCTAGAAGCACATATTCGCCTACATATAGTACTTTATTATTTTTGCCAACAATTTTAGCACATAATCCACACTTTTTGAAGCATCTTTTTTGGAATCAGCTGAGGCTGTGAATTTGCAGAAATTTCTTCGTGACATGGATTGCATTGGGGCTGGTGAATTTGGAGAGGCTTGAAAGCTTTAAAGGGATTTCCTATAGCTCTAGCAAGCAACTAGTAGTGCTGTATCTGGAATAAAAACCTGGTTTTGAAGCATGCAGGTTGCATCGCAGATGTAGTTCCCCTTGGCATCGCGAGCGAAGGGATACTGGAAGTGGTTGGCAGCTGAGTCGTGTCCCACCGCATCCAGGAAGCAGCGAGGATGGTGTTAGGGGGTTTCAAGAGAGGCCACTCTACTGTTAAGAGTCCATCTCAAGTAGGCTTTAGTTTAACTTTTCTAGGTTTTTCTAGGCTTTAGCCCAATTCTCCCATCTCAGCCCCTTGCGCGCCTTCTCAGGTGAGGGTTGTTGTTACTCTTTCTGCCCTTGTTCCAGTCATCCCTTGGCTGCAGGTGGTAGCAGCGGTGCCGGTTTAGGATGGAGCTTGTGCTGCAGGATGCTTTTGTGAACTTACACAGCTGTACCTGTCTTGCCATCTGTGGTACCCCCAAACCCACTCTATTAAGCTCACATAAAGGAAGAAGTGGTTCTTCCCCCAGGACCAGCAGCTCATGGTACTTGCTTCATCCCTCTTTACCTTCATTAAGACCCGATGCAGCCATCTCTGCAGGGACTTTGCTGGCTCTCTGTGGGGTGGGATTAGCTCAGCCATGTTGTGCTGATGCATGGGGCTTTGGTGGTTTGCAAACATGGAGGGCTTCTGCAAGGTGGTTTTGGTGCGCCCTCATTTCCGAAGGTATGCTGGGACAGGCATTAGCATCATGGTTGCAACGTGTTTATTGCTCCATGGCCAACAAATAAATGCCCTCGCCTCAAGCAGTGATTTCCTATCATCTAGTGAAGCACCTGTGGTGATTGCAGGCTGGGGAAAGAGGTCAGGAGGACGGATCCTGAGCAGGGGCTCTGCTCCTCCCCCAGTAAAGAGGATTTTGTGCTATGGCCAACATAGCAGTTGTTTTCTCTCTTTCGTGGGTTTTCTGGCTGGTGTAGATTGCCGGTCCTCTGTCGTAAGTAAGTCTGACAGCTTATATGTCCCCTTTGGAGGAGCTGTGAGACTAAGAGGACCCATAACCCCCCCCAAAAAAGCAGTAAAAAGAGCTTGATGTAGCAAATGGAGCAAGAAACAGAACAAGAATGTGGCAATAGGTGTGGATGGGATGAGAGGATGGTATTTATGACCACTCTGTACCTCCAGGATGACCTGGCAGAGAAGCAGCAGAGCATCTGGGAGGGATGTGCACAGTGTGGACTGTAACGTCATGCTAGACTGGGACTAACTTAACATGGGGAGCAGCAGCCGTAGGTGGCTTTGTTGCTCTTCGATATGCACGTACCCTGGAATTGCTGTGGACTTTTGCTGGGAGTTATACATGAGCTTCAAAAGGGGATTGCGGCTTTTGCATCCCAGTATAGTGTGCGTGGGAGGTGCAGGACTGCGCTTGGCCGCTTGTTTCTGGTCAGAGGAAGCGCTCTTCGATGCTGAGGATGAAGGCTGTGTACACAAAGAGATTACACTGTGTATAAACAGAAACTGAGATTATAAATAATGAGTAAAAAAACCCAACAACCAAGTTCTTGAAAAAGACAGTACACATTAAGTCTTTCCCAAATCCGTATTTAGCCATCTAAGTGAGCTGATTTTTTTTTTTTTTTTTTTTTTTTTTCCCCAGATGCCAAACCCATGACACCTTCCACATCGGTTATTTGCTGCAGGCATCCATGCATGAAAATCTAGCCTTTTTTTTTTTTTTTAAGGATGTCTCGTACCAGGGTGGGAAGATGCTGTCGTCCATAACATAATTTCAAAGCTGATCCAAGCCACCAAATTCCTAACTGGTAAAGTAGTGTTAGGCAGAAATCTCCCCCGGCGGACACATCTCACTGCAGTGAAGGCATCCAGTCTTTCCATGCCGGCTTTAGCAGTGTGTGGTCGACCTTGCTTCCTTTGTGCGTTGCTGGTTGCAGAGATGGGTGAAGAATTATTGTCTGTAGGTACTGTATTTGCATTTCGTGGGTGAGTTTTTTTCCCTGCTGCTCTCCAGGGTTATTTGCACCAAACGCCAATGTGCTGCGAACTGTAGAGCCAGCATTTTCCATCCCTGTCACCCTGGCCTGCTTCGGATGGGTGGCAGCAGAATAAGCAGAGCACAAAAGCCCTCAGGAACAGTAATTAATAGGGAATGAAGAGAGAAAACAGTCCCCGTAACAATGCCCCTGTGCAAAAAGTACAAATTTGTCTTCCAGGATTGTCCTTGCAACTCCTGAACTATAGGTTTAATTTTGGAAGAAAAAGGGTGAGATGTTTCGAGATGTTGCTCTCAACGGGAACGGAGCAAACATATCTGAAGGTGGTAATTTACCTCCAACTTCACTGGGGGAAATCTCTCTCTGCGTCCTGCTTAGCATCTTGCCTGAGTTTGCAATACTAGGCAGCATGCCCGGTAAAGAGCACGGAGTGAAAGTCTCAGTGGTTAATTATGTTGCATAATTTTGTGTTTCCCAGTGATGCCAATGAGCTTGCAGGTGGAGAGGTACCAAAATAGTGACCGAGCTCCTCTGGACCATGCCCTGGTGCTATGCACACTGTGCTGCTGCCAGGGTGCGTCCAGATCCGCGCGTGGCAGATGCATCCTTCTACAGATCCCCCCGATGCCCTTGCTGGGAAATCTCTGGGTGAAAGGGGAGTGGTGGCTGGCATTGGTGCCTGCATTCACGCAGCCCAGCTTTCTGGGACTTTTTGTCCGAATTAAGTGTGAATTGCATAGGAAAAATACATACTATGCACGCAGCTGGATTTCCCCCTTCTCGGCGCTGTTTGCTTCTCTGGCTGAGCACAGCGGTTTTATTAATTTTTCCACATTTCAGCTGCATTGAAGTGTCAGAATTTCCTGAATTCCTGTGGGACTTGGAGCTTTTTACCCAGCAGTGATGGAGGAGACTCTTACCTGGGGTGCTGGAGAGGGGTCCCCCTTAGTGAGGCTGGTGCTGGGCCCATGGGGCCAGTTCATCTCTCCCATAGACTGGGGAGAGGGAGGAGAGCTGGAAAAGAGACTTCACCCTCCGTGAGCTGGCAGAAGTGAGTTTGTTGTTTTCCTTAAAAGAAGAAAATAAGGTTATTTTCCCTCTTTCCAGTAGAATTGTCTTCAAAGGGCCATTTTCTAGTTAGGGAATTACCTTCAGTGAGAGCTGCAGACAGTATCTCGTGTTAGAAATGCCAGTAATGATAGTCCCACCTTGCCGGATTTCATCTGATTTGGTATTATTAAACCAAATAGAATTGGATGTGGGAAGCACATGGCAAATTGATTGTTGAGGATGGGGTCGACCTCTTGGCAGGGGGAGCCCAGGGAAAGCTAAGCTTACTGGGGCTTTTTGGGTGGTATCTGGCTGCTCTTGCTGCCTCCCTACAGTTGTAACCTTCCCAAAATGCTGAAATACAACCTGAGCTGCTCCTTCTTAAGACGAGCAGGTTCATGCATGCCTCTTGCAATGGTGTTTTTGAGTTTGTTTTTATATTTTTGTAAATGCCAAGGTGACTATGGCGGTTTCTGTTTAATTTATTAGACTACTCTGATCAGATGTCCACACAAGTCCTTGCGATACCTGCTTTTGCCTGTCAGTCATCACTGGAGTCGGCAGCGTGTTGCATCCTGCCTTTGGGAGAAAGCACAGGCAAGAAAGTCTGGGCTGCTTTATTTCTTGAGCCATATCTAATTAGTCACGAGCCGCAGAGCAGTGCAGACCCAAGTAGGCTGTGGCTCAGGACCAGGCTCTTTCATATTTTAATCCAGCCTTGCCCTGGTGTGGCAGCTCAGCTTTCCTCCAGCCGCCTGACACAGCAAGTCCCAGCTTTTGCCGTAAATCCATAAGCTCGCTTTGGGGTGCCTTGTCCTGGGTGAAACGCCCTGTGGCAGGGCTGTGAGGGCGTAGCAGTGTACCAGCAGACCTCCTCTTGGGGCCCGGGTTGCTTCTTCTGACACTGGGCTAAAATAGGATACTGGCAGGGTACCACGCCAGGCGCTTTTGGGTAACAGGAGTGGCACTCCAGCCCAAATTTGTAGTGATGAGCAAGCTGGAAGCACGTTAGTTGGAGGGAAATCATCAGTGTAATTCATGTGTGTAAAATCCAACAGTGTTTGCAATGCCTGTGTCAGATGCCTAGTGATTTGCCCTCCTAGCTACTCGTTTTTGCATTAAGCAATGGATGCCCACCTTCTTTTAATCATACAATAAAGAGCAACAGCTTGGACCTGCCCCACCGTCGCTGGACCTGACCTGTGGGAGAGACTCCCTGGCTTGGTCTCTGCCTCATCACCACCAACTTGCCTGGTCCTCCAGACTCTTGGCTGAACCTGGCTGTGACATTCATCTCCTTGGCTGGGGGTGGTGGGACAAGCCCTGGCTGGAGAGGTCCTGCCCTGGTGACCTGAACGTCTTCTGTGGGAAGGACCTGAGATGCGTGTGTCAGGCAAGTTGCTCCTTGCACAACTGCCCGTACTTAGATTCCTTGGGAAGGAGGTAAAACAAAACCAGCCAAACCCCTACTTTTCAGAGGAGTTAAGCAGCTAATAAAACCCAAGTGGAGCAGGAAATTTGATGAAGTCTAACAGAGCCAGGTTGGCTGATGCCATGATGAATGCAATGGTACGTGAATGTGAAGGGGATCCAATGACCCAGGCGGGCTTGGAAGAGCCCCCAGCTTGTGTCTTCTACTGCTCTGTGCAAAATATATATTTTATTTTATTTGACGAAAACAGTTCCAATACCCCAGCCCTGATGAGGACTCCAGTAGGTACATGCTGTCAAAGGCTTTGCTGTAAGAACAGATCCGTATGTTCTGCCTGCGCTTTCCAGGCAGCTATTCAACAGCGGGCAGCGATGGAGGAAGGAGCATGTGCAATGGAGGGAGCTGTGAAAAAATGCGGGGCTGCGGGGGCTGCCCGTGGGATGGAAGCCAAATTCTGGCAGTCCTTTTGCTTGCCTGAGATCTGAGTCAGCCGGCGCTGCAGAGTATGAGTGCTCAGGCTGATGTAAGGGGGATTTGGTGGGAGCTTGGTGTTAATTAGGAGCAGGTCGGTAGCCAGGACAACATTTCCAGCGATGTTTACCCTCTCATTCATCTTCTTCGTGCTGGGAGGTGGCATTGTAATGCTTTCCAGCTTCTCCTCCAAAGGGATTCCCCTGTGTTAATTCCCAAGGACTTCATGGGGCAGAGATGATGGTTTCTTTTTCATTCCTTCTCACTGTGAGTGCAGCTTGTAGTGTTGGTGAAGTGGCAGATTTCCTCCCCAGCACCGTGGGGATAGGGAAGGTGCAGGGAGGCGAGGTGGTGTGGGAGCCCGTGCAACCTGTATCCCCTGATGTGCAGGATAAGGCAGAAAAACTCATTGCTGATAAGAAGGAATGGAGTTTCCTAGCCATATAAAGACATAACTTGAACCATGGCTGGTTTTGGTTGGTTTTTTTTTTGGTTGGTTGGGGTTTCCCCTTTTTTTTTTTTTTTTTTTTTTTGCCCGTCTACAGGAGAAATTAAGGGTCATCATGCATGATCATGGTAATGGATCCATCCCAGTGTCATGGACTAGCAACAAGACACCCGGTTTACTTGGGATGTTTTTTTCCCCTTGCATTCATGCATGTTCTGTATCAATCTTTGATGAGTATATTGAATGTGTATGTACACATACACATATATAAAAACACACATTTTTTTTCCCCTTTATGTCTTTGTGGAGTCCAGGCTGGCCTGATTCGGACAGACAGCAACGAGTTCTTCATCGAGCCCCTGGAGAAGGGACAGCAGGAGATGGAGGAGCACGGGAGGGCTCATGTGGTGTACCGTCGGTCGGCCATCCGGCAGGACGGCACCGAGCCCCACCAGGACCTCCACCCTGAAGGTAAGAGTTCCTCGAATCTTGTCTTTCCTAGCAATTGATAATAACTATTTCTTGTGGGGGGAGGATTTCTCCTTCCACTTGCCCTCTGTGTCATAAGTCTAGCCCTATGGCTTTAGGCTGGCTTTAACTGCCAGCTGGGTCATCAGTGAGAAGAAAGGAAAGAAAACGCTGGACTTTGTAATGGGTCTGCCTGAGATGCAGCCCTCACCGTGCTGTGCAGTGGTAGCTAGATAACACACCAGTGTTTTGACTACTGCTGAGCAGGGCTCACACAGCACCAAGGCTATTTCCCCAACATTTCCCCAGTAGGCTGGGGGTGGGTAAAAACTTGGGAGGGGATATAGCCAGGACAGCTGACCCAGACTGACCAAAGGGATATTCCATACCACATGACGTCTGCTCAGCAATATAAGCTGGGGAAAACAGGAAGAAGGGGGGGGCATTTGTTTCGCGTTTGTCGTCCAGAGCAACTGCTATGCGTACCGGAGCCCTACTTCCCAGGAAGTGGCTGGACATCGCCTGCTGATGGGAAGTAGAGAATAAGATCTTTTGTTTTGCTTTAATGCGTGGCTATTTGCTTCATTAAATGGTCTTTATCTGACTCACGTGCCTGTTGTTATATTTTCTCTCCCCTGTCCAGCTGAGGGGGTGAGAGTGATAGAGTGGCTTTGGTGGGCACCTGGCATCTGGCCAGGGCCAAACCACCCCAGGCTTTTACTGGGAACTTTGAAATTCTTCCAAATTTGATTAAAGTTGGATGAGTTATATACGAGTTATTCTTCCTCTTTGAAGAGGAGGAATCTTAGATGGGTGTGATCCTGCCCATGGATGATTGTATCGGCCTTGGGATGGGAAGCAGAGTTGGGACTCGTGAGTGAAGGGGTCAGGAGGAGCTGGAATTGGTCCAACTTGACTGCTGACTGCAGCTTGGTTTTAATCACCTATACATTGTGAAACGTGGCGTTGGTTTGACTATTTAACAGATGATAAAGTCCTTCTTTTTCCCAGCATTCGTAACTCATTTCGCTTTTGTAGTGCTTTGCCTTTTTTTTTTTTACTCCTTCTTTGCCTTGAAGGAGAAAACATGGGGTTTTTTTAATAGCGTCACTTAGCTGTGTGCTGCGCTCTGCACGCATAAGTCGCCTGCTGACTTCCCCTCTCACCTGCACAGAGCTGAGCACACCCAGAAGTGTTTACAAGCGTGGGGTTGACATTATGCAAAAGTGCTCTATAAACCTATTTAAATTTATGCAAAGGCATTAGCCTTCTCTGGCATTTATTCACCTCTTGTGGCACCGTAATCAGCTCCCTGATTTTTAAAAAAGTTTAAAACTTTTCCAGGGTGTGCTCATTGCTTTTGTAGCGTCACTACATGGAATTGCAATTAAGAGCTTCGATGGCCCTGCTGGGTGATGGGGTGAAGGATGATATGAAAGATGGAGGATGCTTTGTCTGCAGCTGTCTGCTCTCAAGGAGCAGTCCCCAGCTTCGCACGCGTCCTCCACAGCTATCCACCACCTCCCCAGGTGTCCTAGCACCACCCAACGACAATGTAGGACCATCATTGCATAGATGTGTCTTTTAGTGCTGATGCTTGCAATTCAGAGCTCTTTCCCCACCATAGAGCAAGCTGGATCAGTGGTTGGCATTAAATATCCTATTTATTTTTCCTGCTTAATTTCTGTTTTTTTGGAGGAGTGTCACCACAGTGTCAGGTCACCTCAACGTCTGTTTCTTTTTCTATCCGCCATACCTTGCTCAGTGCCCGGTCTGCGGGTGGGCGATCTCCCCAACTCCCTGGAGCTGATGACGGAGCGGCTGGGGGACGCGGAGCGCAAGAGGCGCCATGCCAGGAAGGACAACTACAACATCGAGGTCTTGCTGGCAGTGGACGACTCGGTCGTACGCTTCCATGGAAAGGAGCACGTCCAGAACTATGTCCTCACCCTCATGAACATAGTAAGGCTTGGCTTTGAGGGGACTGTGGCTCCCACCTCTCCCTTGGTTTACTGCTCTTCTGATGCTACAAGTTCTGGAAAAAAAATGGGGGGGGGGGGGGGGGGGGGGGGGGACTGGATGTAATTAAAAGCTGTGATTCTCTCTTCTGTCATGTTGAGTCAATTTTTTAGGTCGCTCTTCCTTTGCGCAGCTGGCTCTGGCATTTAATGACTGTGGCAGTTGGAGTGATGGAAAGCAGAGCCCTTTTATGTTCATCTCTGTCACGTTCCCCTGGCCAACAACAGGGTCCGCTGTGTTGGTTGCTGTCACTTCCTGTCGCTCGAGTCCAAGAGCATCTTCTGTTTTTCCTGACCAAGACCGTCTCCTCTTCATGGCTAAAATCTCAGTAAATGCTAGAAAAGAGAATGGTTGATGATTATTTAGTTTGAAATTGTGATAATTTTTATTTATTTTATAATTATGATGTTTCTTATTTATTTTGAATAATATTTGTTGATGGGGAGGAAGATTTTTATGTGTTTTCAGAAGTTTTTTCATGTTCCTAGGTAAACCTATGCACCGTGAGGATTAGTCAGATGTGTTTGAAAAGGAGTTTATAGCAGCTTCACAGCAGCCCTGCTTCTGTGTCTCTCCTCACCCGGTGGCGTGGGGCAGCCCGTGCTGATTCCCTGCACCACTTTTCTTTCCCTTTTAAGATAAAAATGTACATATTCCCCAAGTCGTGAGAGATGTGGAAGGATCAATATTTATTCAGCTAGTCGTCTTGCAGGAGGTTTGTTCCGCTCGCACCTGAATGTCTGCGAATAGGGTCAGTGTTCAAAGATCTCTTTTGTGCACTGTCCTGTTTTTGTTTTGATTTCCATGCTTTATCCTTGCCTCTATTTATTTATTTTGATTTAAGAACTCTTCTGCATGGTGATGGAAAGCATTCGAAAGGTGCAACCAACTCAGAAATGACCAAGCTATAAAGATGCTTTTGCTTTTTGCTTGCTTGTTTGTTTGTTTGGGCATTATTTCTGCCCTGGCAGGCAGGCTCAGAGCCGTATTGCCAGTAATGAAGGGGAAATTGTCGACACAAGGGGTAAAGATATGTGGGATTAGAGGCCAAATGTAACGTGGCCGGTCCCAAGTAGAGAAGATAATGATTTTAAAAAGCAAATGCCTTCATTTGCAACGTTTTTTTTCTCAAGTGCGTTATTCCAATGCCTGTGGTAGGATGCTCTCAGCATCACTTAAATTCACTCTCTGAAAGTTTCTCCCCTTTGCTTATTAAATCCTGCAAGGGGGAAGCCGCAGGGCTCCTCATTCTGACCTGGGGCTCTTCCCACATTATGGGGGTTGGAGATGATGTCATTTTTCCTTTCCGAACCAGGGGGGACAGGCGGTTTGAGCGCCTGGGGATTGTCAGCTCTAATCAAAAGGTTGGTTTTCAGGAGCATTTCATGGTTTATACCCCGCGGGTAGGACTTTTCAGGGAGTGAATGTGTGGGATGCTGTGCTGGGAGAAGAGAGGACCGCTGTCTATTTAAATAAAGACAGCACTGGAGACTTTAATGAATTAAATAAAGAGGGGAAAAAAGCAGCATCAATAAAAGGGGGGGGGGAAACCAGGATAAAGCATGCAACAAACACTTCCCCAAGTATTATTTCCTTCTATACATTCTTCCCCCACCCCCTTCCCCTTCTTTCTTTCTGGTTTTCAGTGTGTTTTCTTTCCAGCTTTGCCGTGACCTCTGTCCGCCTCCTCTTCCCTTGACGCCACCTCATTTCCTTACCGACTCGGATTGCCTTAAAATACCCAATTCAACAGAAAAAAAAAAAAAGCTTTCTGGCCTGGATGGCAGACGGAGAGAGAGAGAGAGGGTGCCTGGGGTCGGTGGGGAGGAGCATGCTGGGACCACACAGCTGAACACTAATCCTGTTAGTTGGAGGCAAGGGGAAGGAGGAGAGGCTTGGCCAGCCCTCTAATGAGGAAAGGACTTACTGAGCTGGACTGGAGTATGCTGGGGAGATGGTACATGGGAGCCAGCTGGGACAGCCTCCAGGAGTTTTCCTATCAAGATATATGTCATGGAAAGGGGGCAGCGAGCTTGGAAGTTGATAGTAAACTTTCCTGGCCTTTTCTGGGGTCCCTGTTGAGTGCTGAGGGGGTGGTGGGACACGGACCCCTTCCCAATGCTGTGTGGGCTTGGCTTAACATGGCGCTGCTGTAGGTAGGGTCCTGGGGCTCTCTCCAAGACACAAACCCTTTTATTGGGAACTCTGTGTCGGCTGAAGCTTGGTGATAAATGATTCGTCACGGAGAACATTTTTTTTTGAAAAAACCCAACCAACCAAACAAACCAAAACCACCCTTATTTCATTGCCAGAAATGTAGTTGCCAGGCTTTTCATTAAACAGCTCTGTGTCCATCCCAGGAAGCTGACGTGAGGATGACTGCTCCTTTTGTGCACCTAAGAGCTTCCCCGCAGGCTACCGTCCCCGCCAGTTCCCAGCCTGCATTCCCAGCCTGCCGTTCCCTTCTTGGCTCAGAGGCTGCACAAGGATTTTGAGTCAGGTTGAAGCGAGTGGCACTAGATGGATCACAGGCTTGGGAAATGCATGCTGACTTCAATATTATTCTCACTTTCTCCTTTTTCCCTTGCAGTCTTTTGGTATTAAGCTTGATGTGAGCTTGACCACCTTTGTTTCAAGTTGCTTGGCAGCCTCTGCACCAAAAATCGGAGGTTTGACTTGCCAAAATGCCTTTACCATCGCCTGCTGTGCACTCTGGAGAATGCGTGTCTCAGCATACCTCGTAACTCCAAGCTGAGTGTCACTGTGTCCACCCTAGCAAAACCTGGCCCCTTCCCTGACGCTGGACTCTTGGGATGAATATTTGGCAATGTGGTGGCTGGGGGAAGCTGTTTGCCTGGTGCCCATGGCAGGGATTGTGATGCTATCGAGGCAAAATTAGCATCCCCCAGCCATCCCCCAGCCACAGTGACTGCTGTGTGTGAGGGCTGAAGGATGAGAGAAGGGCTGGGAACCAGGAGGGCATCCAGCATCCTGTAAGGAGAAGAGGAGAGGAAATGTTTTGTGTCCTGCTTTGCTTTTCAGCCTCTTGTCATTCAGTTGGGCTCCTTTGTTTGCTCCTCTGGACTTCCTGCTTCTCGCCCCTGATGCTCTCAAGGCTGGGCTGGCCCTGCTCGGAGGAGGCAAGCCAAGCTATGGACTCTGTTAATCCCGGCCCTGGTGTCAATGGGTTTGCTGGGGTTTTTGTAGGGTATTGCCCATGATTTGGTTAAGGATGCAAAGGTACTTGGTGTTTTCCCATTGTTTTGGGTTACTAGGGAAACCCCATGAGTCAGAGCCCTTTCCAGGCTGGGACTTGCCCGGCTTCCCTCCGGCACATCTGCTGAATTATTGTTCCCAAGGGCTGAGTGACAAAGAGTGCTGCTGAGACTACGGAGGAGAGGGTTAGGGAAAAAAACCCACAAATGTCCCTCTTTAATTTTAACCTGGGATTATCTGAAAAGCGAAGCCGGAGCACAGATGGCTCAAGACACTGATTTGCCGAGCTTGGTCTTGTTTCAGGAGGAGGGACAGTCTAAAATAATGGGCAAATTATAGTCCTTCTGGTGTATGATTGGCTTTTTTTTGGTGGTTCATGAGCCATCTCCTTGCTAACTGATAATAACAAAAAATATCTCTAATGTCTCTCTTACGTGTGCATGTGCTTTTTCCCACTCCCTTTATAGGCTCATGTGTTTATTGCTGTGTTTTTGGGACAACATAGCCTGTTGCATAGAAAGCTGTGATAAAATCTAGTCTTGCTCTGCAGAATAAACCTCCCCTTTCCTCCGTTCCTCTATATTGAAAACATGGGTAACATGGGTTAGCCCTTGCAGAGGGTGGTATACATCCCTGAAGGGGATGCAAGTGCACAGAGCAAGACCAGTAGTGAGTCAGGAGGACTTTTGCCTCTGTCCCTAGCCCATCAGCCCCAGAAAACAGGCTTGGAGTGAATCCACCGGCATGAAAATTGAGCAAGGGAATAAAAGAAAGGAACTTAAAGATGACTTGGCTGTTCCGAGTAAGCGATCTGGGGTTTTGAAATGTCAGCTATTCTGCTGGTTTGGCAAATTCTTCTCATGTCTCTCTCTTTGTTTTCCTTCCCTGAAGAACGGCGAGGTCTAGACATTGCCAGTGCGGTTTGCTGTCGTGATCTTGCATCTGGGGCTGCAGACTTGGGGCTGACCAGAGTTTTGCAGGGATTTAGGTAGGCAGCATTGCTCGCTCCTGGCGCCAGTGAGGGGCTGGGGCTGGGGGGTCGTGTGTCCCATGCGCTCGGTGAATTCGTTGAGCATTTTGAAGAGGATGCGCGGGGTTTTATTGTGCCTTTCATTCTTTGTAAAGCATTAGCATCGTCCCCTTGGTGTTGCAAGGCTGAGGGCTTTAGAGTTGTCTCTGTGGGGGGCTTGAGGGCTGCTTGTTCTTGCTGGTTTGCCCATAATGCACAGCTAGCCTTAAGGGCTTGTCTGTTTTAGGTGAAAAAAATCCTCTTTTAAATGAAATAAGAGAGCATTTCTTGCCGGATGACAGTACTAAACAGGCTGGCCATCTAACCACATAGGTGAGAGGGATAAGATCTTTGTCCCATCTGTCTTCAGGGAAGTAGGTCCCTTTACTGGAGTCTTTTGCTGAGCAGGTATTTTGGTGGGGGATTTTTCTCTGAAGACATTGACTCACTTAATGGCATCTGCAGAGGGCAGGGGGAGTTGTGCCAAGCCGGTAAACTGCTCTTCGGGCCATTTTCCATCTCCTCTGCAGGCTTGAACCAGCCAGGGCAGGCTGATGGGGAGTGGGGAGGTGATGCTTGGTGCCCCCCAGCTCCATCCCCACTTCTTCTTCCACAAGCACTGTGGCGCTGGGGGTGTGCTGGCCCTGCCGATGCTCCCCCTGGCCCCAGAAACTTGGGGACTGTGGGGTCACAGCCACCATGGCAGCAAGCACCGAGCCCTTTTGATTTTTTTTTCTCGATCAATTATTTAATTCTGGCTATTAAGGGAAGTCCATAGCCTTGGGCAGTCTGGTTCCACATCTGCTTTCTGAGTTAACCGTAAAGGTCACTGCTGAGCTGAGCTGGTATCTGTTAGGTACAGATCCCAGCCTAAATGCTGTCCTCCCCTAGACAAAACAGGGACTGGGGTTTAAGGTTAACCCTTTGGTTCAGAGGCTGGAGGGGTAGCTAGTCCCTGCCAGCTGGAGGAGAGAGGGATTTAGCACTGTTTTAAAAGGAAGATTTTGGGGATTAAATCCCATATTGGAGTAATACAGCTTCTTGCATCTTAGTCCATTAAAGCGCTGTTTCTAAGCTGCTCATAGTCCTGCTGCTGCCCTTAGTCGCTTCTCTAGGAAGTCTGAGGAAGGATGTGTGATGCTGGGAGGGTGTTGATGAGTTTAGTTGTCAATGCCTGTGAATAATATTACTGTTCCCCAATTTTATTTTTTTTTTCTCCCAGGGTAGCTAATGTTGCTTGGGGGTGCACGGTTTGGGGCAGGGAGCTCTTCTCAGACCTGGGGACTGTTTGCAGGCACTGCTGGTGGGAAGAGACATTGCTGAGAGGAGGGCCATGTGGTAGGTCAGGTGGCACGGAGCAAAGCTCTTGCCCCAGACGCTCCTCTTCTCTCACTGGCTGGGGCTGCCATGCAGCAGGTTGTCACAGAGCATACTTTCCCGCTACCCACGGGGTCTTCCAAGCATTCTGCCAAAATATCGTGTGCAGCCGGGAAGGGAGAGGTCAGCGCTGCTTCCTTGGATGCTCCGAGTCAGACAAGGTCAGGCAGCAGCTTGGCTGGGAGCTCTGGCTGGCAGAGGGGTCCCTAAGGCAGGAGCACGGTTCATCCCAATGGATCAGGGCCTCCTCGGGAGTGGAGAGCAAGCGGCAGAGTGTCAGTGGATGATACTGAGGTGCTGACTGAGGCAGAGGCTTAATGGTGCTCCAGCTCCCGACAAGTGCTGGTGGTGAGGGAAAATGCATAAAGATTTGGGAAAGTGAAGGAAATGACTGTGTTTTCCCCTTGCTCCACTGAACTATCTCCAGGTCCAGCTCTCTGTCTCTTCAGGACCATAGCTTATTTTTAATTTCTCCCTCTCTCCCCTCATGCCCTTTGTATTACCTCTCGTATGACACACATTAAGGCTGGAATATTTTTGTAAAGGGCCAAACTCCTCATGTGGGTCTTCTCAGATCTGCTGATGTGTTCACCATGGTGCCAAAGCCTCCTACATTCCAAAACCCAGGGCTGAGCGTGACCCTTTGCTGGGATGGATGCTTTGTGCTTTGGTGGGACTGTAGGTATGAGTAACGTTTGCAAGTGGGAGCCCAGCTGCAGCACGGCACAACCTTCCTCCCATCTGCGCACATCCCGAAAACAAGAGCTCACATCGGAAGAAATCCATCATATTCTCATTACAAAATGCCTTTAAAAGGTAGTGGGGCAGCGTGAAGGAGGATCCCAACCACGATAAGCAAGGGTGAGCTGAGGATGGGTTATGCAGCGTTATCTTTCCACGCTGGTGAAGCAATGACCCTGTGGGGCTTACAGCCTGAGCACCCAAAGGGATGCATTAGTGGGGATGGACTGGTGATTTTTAAATTTTTTTTTTTAAAATTGATTTTGTTGCATTCAAGACATGGCAGACCTGCATTGCCTCTCTGTAAAGCTCGAAGCCATTCCACGGGAATACTAGTTGTCATGGTGAAACGTTAATGCTGCGTGTTGGGGTTTAAAAATGGCCCAACTGGGTATTTCAAAGAGGCTATAAATCAGGGGGCTCATTGAGCACTCTTGCACTCTGGGAAAAGGCTGACTTGGTTTGGGCTGCAGTAAAGGACTAGTTGTCACCCAATCCTTGAGTTCAAATGTAAGCTTAAAAAAAAAAAAAGGAATGGGGGAAAAGAATAGAAAAACTCCATAAATCTGGCTTTATAACATTCATCTAGTCTGGAAGGCTATGATAGAGCCTAAGCACATTATTTCTCTCTTGGACAAAGTTGGAAAGTATGTTTTAATTTAAAGATTAATTCTAGTCAATATTAAAAATTGTTTTAATTTGACTACCTCGACTTCTGCAGTGAACCCCCATTTGTGGCACTGTTAATTTTAGAGGCTTTTGGGGAATGAGAAAGTCCTGTTCTCTAAAAATCAGTTGGGTTTTTTTCTTGGGCTGTATTTTCCCATGTACTTTGCAAGTGGATGAAGACTGGTGCAGGGTCTTCTGTGCTTGTGTGGGTTTATGGCTGCCTGCTCAGTGCCTGTCTTGGTGGCCCATTGTCACTGTGGTCAGCTTGCAGGGATGTTTCTTATCTGGATGTTGGCTTCTCTTGGTAGCGCTTAGGAGTAGAATTTGTTTATTCATCCTAAAAACGCAGAAGGAAAAGGTTATAGCTCATTATTTCCTTTGCAAAGTCCTTTTTAATAGCTGGCATTGATAGATATCTTATTGACTTACAAGCCATCCCTGTTCTTTTCATTGTATTTTCTTCTCCTGGGGTTTCTGAAGCGGTAGGTCAAATTTGACTCACCGGTATAACTGAGTAATGCCCTTGCTTTGGTGTGATCACTTGTCTGTCCCCAAACCCCCATTTTTTTCTTTCCACCAAACAAAAGGATGCTGAAGTCCGAAGTGTTTCCTTCCATCTGAGGAATTTGTACTCTGAAGGGGGCAATGGCTCATTGCAAGATGCTCGGCAGTGGAGGCAGCGCTCGTGGGAAACGCAGCTTTCCTCTGCTCTCTTGATGGGATGGGTGATGTCATTGACCATCTGAGCCACCCATCCTGGGGAAATTTGGCTTATTGCAGCTTGGCTTTTTGACTTTATGGTTTTTACCCGGGGGAAAAAAAAAAGCTGGGGGTGGGAGGAGGGAGACAAGATCTTTGCACCTGGTCTTGGAAGGCGATGGGTGGGATGCTGAACATGGGAGCATGGAGGACAGGAGGGGCTTGAGAGCTGAGATGGTCTTAACTTCTTCTATGCTTTATTTCTCTCCCTTCTTCAGGTGGATGAAATTTATCACGACGAGTCCCTGGGTGTTCACATCAACATCGTGCTGGTCAGGATGATCATGGTGGGATACCGCCAGGTAAATACAGCGCTCGGATGCGGTGAGGAGGAGATGCTATTCAGGCTGGCCTCTGCTTTTCAGCTGCTTTCCTGGCTCAAGCCCTGCCCTGTGAGGGAAGGCAGGCTGCCAAAATGCAACACAGGCGCAGCAGGCAGCTGCTGCTTCTCCCAAGGCAGGCAAGTGTGCAATGACACCATGGCTTAGTGTTTCATCAGCATAATATTTAGCACTTAGGTAAGCCCTGGCTTGGAAAAATGTGGCCGTTCAGGTCAGCTGTCAAAGCCCAAGTGACAACTGTACTGACCTGAACCCTCATCCAGCTAGTTGCTGGAGCCTGAAGGTCTGGAGAGCCCCATAGCTGTGCAGACCCAGGGCAGAGAGAGATCCCTGGGGAGATGGCGGGTGGCTGTGATCAGCCTTTATCTGCTTCCTCTAGGGTGCAGGAAAAACCATGAGAGGCTTCCTCAGGAGCTCTGGAGTGGCAGTAGGTGATGGGACAAAGGTGGCTTTCCAAGTTGGCAGGAGCTAGATATTGGTGAGGAGAAGCTGAGGCCAGGATCTCCTGTGTCCCAGCCATGTGATTTGCTATACTTTTTGTGGCAAGCCCCTATCCCACATGAAGAATTCTAGCAAGGGTATTAATGACTCAGCAGGGTGATGTCTGAGTATGGTCTACAAAGAAGCCCGATTAGGTCTTGGGAAAAAACCCCGCTTGTTAGACAAATCTGCTTGGCCAGCAGAAATCCAATGCCTCCCAGAGACCCAGGGATGAGCAGATGTTTGAATCCAGGTGAGATCTCAGCTCACCACTGTTTAGGTTTGATGCCTCCTGAGTGAGTCCTCCTGCAGCTTCTTGTCTCTCACCTTGCACTTTGTAGGATAGAACCTCTGTGGCTTCCACTTGAGGGCCAGGGTAAGGGCAGGATTTCTTACCTTTCTTCTCACTGCTGTGGCTCAGCAGGTACCTGCCTGAGATCATAATTTATTTTATAGAGCATGATTTTGCAAAATGCTAATCTTAAACAAAAAAAAAAAAAAAGATGAAGGGCAAGGTGACTGCTGTCAAACAGTCCTGGACACCTCCACCTGTTCCCTGTTGGAGTCTTGGTCTCTGTGGGTCAGGTTTCACAGGGAAACATTGCTCTGCTCATTGCTGAGCATCAGCATCTCACAACATCTCGATGAGGAGCCCATGCAGGAGCTGGGAATCTGAATGCTCTTTGCTCCCCTTTTATATACTGCTTCTCCAAGCACTCGTGTGACCAAAGAGGGCCATTTACCCTCCTGTAACAGACCACATCCATTTGTGGGAATGATTGCTGTTTTTAAATAAAAGGTGCAAGCTGCTTTGTGGATGCAAAGTGTTGTTTCTAATGATGGAGAGGCACTGCTTGGGAGTCTTTCCAGTCCCAAAACTCTTGGCAGGTTCCTTCTCCTCCGCTAACATACCCATCTTTTAATTTTATTTTTTTTTTTTTTTAATTCTTTACCCAGTCAGTCAGCCTGATAGAGCGAGGGAATCCATCTCGGAGCTTGGAGCAGGTCTGCCGCTGGGCTCACTCCCAGCAGCGCTCCGATCCAGAGCATGCCGAGTACCACGACCATGCTGTATTCCTCACCAGGCAAGATTTTGGTCCCGCAGGTATGCAAGGTACTGTATTTGTCTCGATCAGGTATGTGCAGTTTGCTGGGGGAAGGCCAGTGAGGGGAGAGGATTTCTTGCAAACACAGTCTGTTTCTTGGCCAGCGAGGTCCAGAAAAAGGTTATAAAAATTGGTATTTTTTTTTGTGTGGAGTAGAAGAAAGACAGAATTAATCCAGAGCATTAACCTGAACGGATAAAAAAATCATCTTTATTTGTTCTGCCCTTACTTTGTTTTCATGCACCCATTCTCCCCTTATCCTAAAGTGCCTTAAAAAGTTTAAAAATAATATGGAATACCACAGGGAGCTTCACCGGGCATGTCAATCCTTTCTGTCCTCTGGAGGACCTTTAAAACCTGGTTTAACGTAGGTCGATTTCTTGGCCCTCTTAGGATTTGGGAGCATTGAGTAAACCCTGGGCCAAAGAGGAGGTCTTACTGTAGTCTGAAGGAGCAGTGGCAGTAGTTCTGTCACTGTCTTGGTGCAGAGGTTGTGCTGACATGGGCAGAGAAGTTAAGAGATCTAGGAAAAAAAAATTTAAAAATTGCAGGAGAAGCTTCTGGTGTTTCACAGCTCTGTTAGAAAAGCAGATTCTTTGATGTCATCACGAGAGGTGACTTCTCCCAGTTCTCCTGAGCCCGCTGCCTTCAAATGGGCATCTCCTCCTTCCCACACTGGTGGCAAGGTCTGAATTTCCCATCAGGAGGCTCCATTCAATGCCATGAACATGCTGGTAATGTCACACTGATTTGTAACATGAGTCCTTCTGGTGCACATGGGAGGAAGGAAAGATGGAGGAGGAGGAGTCCTTTCCTCACCTTGATTACTTCCCTGAAAAGGGTCTCCCCACAGCAGGGGATGAACCGCAGGAGGTATGCAGCTGGAAGCCCTCTTGAACATATGGTTGACCATCAAAGAGCAGAGCTTGGGTTGTGCCAGCAGCCTCCCTGCTGCACTGTTGACCTGCCTTGGGCTCCTTGTCTGGAGCTGTGTGGCAGTGTGGGTGAAATACCAGGTTGTCTTTCATTTTTCTAGACCCTTCCTGGCAAAGTGACTGTGTCCAAAGGCATTGTTGAGAGGACCTTTTTTGGCATGTCGGTAGAAGGGGGAGACTCACTGGACTCCCTCTTGGTGGGAAGGAGTCATGAGATTGATGAAGTAGCCCTACTCTAATTGATGAAGTAGCCCTACTCTAGTCTTGCTCATTCCAGCCGCTTCCCCTCTTCCCTGTGGATCTGGCTTCCTGCTTTTCACACATCTCTGGGATGGATGTTTGATTTCTGCAGAAGTCCCTGTGGCTGCTGTGTCCTTGCCTGTCAGTGTTGTGTGGCACAAGGTGTAGGTGCTCCTCACCTGCTGGGAACTGCCCTCTCATTGAACTGCTGGCATAGTAACACTTTGCTTACTCTTGCCTCTTTTCCTCAAAACAGAGTCCTTTCAGATCCCTGTCACCCCTTTTCACCTGAGGGCTACATGCCATGAAGGACCAGGCAGTGACACCTCCAATAGCTGCTCATGGCATATGTTCACTGATGGTATCTAAGCGGCTTGTTAAGGTGATGGCAAATACCGGCTGGCTTCTTTAGCCACTGCTCTAGGGTGTATGTGCCAGTTGGGAAGCATCTGCTTTTCTCGTACGTGCCTTGAAGCTGAGCTGAAGGCAGAGGTGCTCCTGCAACAAAGAACCTACAGCATAAATCAACAAGCCAGGAGAAAGGAAGCCTTTGAGGATGAAGTCCTCCAAGTCACAGGGACCTGGGAATGGAGCCTAAATGTCAAGCCTGTGCTTAGCTTGATGCCTCATCACTCCTTACAGTTGTGTGCCCAATTAGCAATGCAGACAGGGCTGAATCTGACTCGGTGACCTGCGTGGTCCTCTTAGCCCAAGCCAACCATGCTCCATTAGCACATCCCCACCAGATACGGCTCGTACCTCTCCCTGTGTTGTGTCACCTCCCCTTGAGCAGTAAACCAGACCAGTGTCTGCTTTGGCATGGCACTGGTTAAGCTGTATGCAAGTCATTGCAAAGAATTGCGGTTGTGTGGCATAGCTCTTCTCTGCTGCAGGTCCAAGCCAAGCCCTAAGGAGGTTCACAAAAACTTCTCATTGCTGGCAACAGCCCTGCTCACAGCATGTCTTGATGGGGATGGGAGTAGTCATGACCAACACAGAGAAATTTTGGAAAGCTGATGCGATTGCTGCTTTGGGAATCAAGGGAAGCTGGAAAATGTGAAGGGGAAGGGCCAGGAGGGACAGCTGAGCTGCACTGCCCTTGCACATGGGTTGCAAATAAACCCCTGCCCTTCAAAGAGAAATGCCTCTTGGTGGTGGACAGATGGGTTGTAAATTATTAATTGCTGCTGCTGAAGCCCTGTCTAAACCAGATGAGAGTGCTATGTCTCTCTGCAGTGGGCGGGCACGGCGGGCTTTCTGGCCCAGGCTGAAGGATGCTTTTGCTTAGATATAATGTGTTGCCCTGTAATCACCTATGGTTGGCCTTTGAGCAGGCTGGTGGTCCATGTAGAAGGTCAGAGAGGCTGAAAGCAGGTAGGAGAAGTTCATGAAGAACAACAAAAAAAACCACATTTGGAGGAAGCAAGAGACTGGCTGGTGTCTTGCCGGTGTGGTGAGGACATGCTGCTTCTCCTATGTGTGTGTCTGGTAAGGCTAATCTGGTCTTTACCAATTAAGTATTTTCCAGGTAGTTGCTTCTCACTGTTGCTCTGCCATAGAGAACCCTTTATACTTCCTCCAGTTCTCACTGGGGTCTTAATTATGAGAGACCAGTGTCTGCCTTCCTGAGCATCCACCTTGTCATATTCTTTGTCCCATCTCCCGTCTAGACATCCAGAGCCTCTTTGGTTGGGAATTTGTCCAGTTGTCATCCTAAACAAAATATATTTGCTCTCCCCTTGTACAGAAAACTTTCCACATCTTTACTCTTTCTTGTGGCAAGTTTCATGGGGAAAAAAAAATCTTTTAAAATGACTTATCCAGAATTTGACTCATTACTGTATGGTTAAACCCAATTATCTGATTCTGTCTCTCAAGCTTTTCGTTTAGCCTGTTACCTTTTGCTTTCCTTTTGACTGTAGCATCCATTGAGCATGTAATTTCTCTGCTGTCTTTCTTAAGGTGTTTTAGTTTATTTGTTAATTGGAGTAAGTCTTGTTGCCCACTTGAATGTGGGGAAAATGAAAAACAAACACTTTCCCCAGTAGATAAAACCCTGAGTGTATTTATTGAAGCTGCTTTAAGAAGATCCTTGTCATTGCGGATGTTTCTCTGAGGTTATGTGGTGCTTTGCAGGCAGAAGTGAACTCTCTCTGCATGTGAGGAGAATCAGGTATTTAATCTTGGGCTTTTTGCTCAGTAACTGGGATTCACCTGACCTTCTTTGCCTGGAGCACAGGCAAAAATTCATCCATTGCTTCCCACAAGATACCATGTGAGTGAGCCCTTCAAAGGTTTGTGTCTGGGCTTGTTTTGAAAAATTAAATTATTAGGACAGGAGAAGTTTCCTTTAGAAGTTCCAGTGCAGGTGGACATCCTGGAAAATCTCCACTCAACTGATAAATAGAACTATCAAGGGAAACACTTGCCCCAAACCCTCTTGGCTTTGCCTTATGTCTGGGGCGATGGTAACTTCTGGGTGTCCAGTGGTGCAGCAGTGACCAATCCCTTGTCCCATCAGGCATCTGCTTCCTTCAGTGCACCCACAAAATCAACTGCTGTTGACTTCAGGGCAGAGCTGTAGGAAACCTTTTATTTTTTTGCTTTAATCCTTTGTCCTTGGCCAGCTGCGTGGTGCTGGGACACACCTGCTCATTCAGCTGGGGAATTAAGCTGAGTGCAATCACATCCTTTCCTCTCCTCCCTCTTCCAGGACAATTAGTCATGAGTTGCTGGCTTGGTGTAGAGCAAGTGGCCCATCAGGATGGGATGGTGACACATGGGCTCTGTGGACCCCGTGTTTTGGCCAGGGTGTGTGCAGAAGGGCAAGCATCCACCCTCAGCTCCTTGGCACCCCTCTTCTGCTGCAGCTCAGCCTCCCTCTTGGCTCACTGAGCTCTCCTCTTTGAGCATCCCTATTCGCAGGGCAGAGTTATCCTGCATGGGCCTGCCTTGCTTTTGTCTCTCAGACTTGTAAGCCCTTCCTTTACTAACTTCCTTCCCCTTGATGCCAAAAAGGGTCAGTCTTTAAAAAAAATTAAATATATATATAAAAAAATGTGGAAAGTAAATTCTAGAAGGTGCCAAGGATTTAATTGAATTGGGCAGAAATAATGTGAGGGGGAAAAAAAAAGGAAAATAAACCAAAATGGAGATGATGCATTGCTGAACGGTTGGGTGAAAGGCTTCCCTGCCCACAGCTGCCCCACTGCACTGCACTTGATCGAGGGCTCGGGGCCGGGGGAGGTGCATGGTCCTCCCTGTACTGTCTAGTGTGGGTGCATGTGTGGGTGCATGGTAGGGGTTCCCCGTAGCCTGCGGTGAGTGAGGCTGTATTCTTGTCAGTGGACGCCTCACACCTTTTGTTCTCTCTCTTCCTTTCTTTTTTTTTTTTTTTTTTTTTTTTTAATAAAGAAGAATGCTGGGGGATGCCATTTCTGGGCTGGGAGGGAGGCAGTGGGTACCGACATTGATAAAGCACCCATGGGTCCCTTTGCTGCCCTCTTGCTGGCTCAGGTGTGTTGGCACGAGGGCAGAGAGATGCTGGTGAGCCTCAGCGTAACCTCAGCCTGATTTTGGCACTGGCAGCTGGGATGATTGTACTGGTGAGCAAGTCCCAGTGACCTGGGCAGCTCCTCCTCTTCAGCACCTTCCTCTTCCTTTTCTCCTCCTGTTGCAATGAAGCCAGGCTGTGTTGTGGGGTTTGGTTTTTTTTCATTTCTCATTTTTTCCTCCCTCTCTCAAAGGTTTTCTTTCTCCTCCCTTCCTCTCCCCTTCTTTCTTGCCTTAGGCTATGCACCTGTAACGGGGATGTGCCACCCTCTCCGCAGCTGCACCCTCAACCATGAAGATGGCTTCTCCTCGGCGTTTGTCGTTGCCCATGAGACTGGCCACGTGTAAGTCGTGGGGGCAGAGCTGGCTGTCCCCTTCGGCAGGGAGATAAGCAAGGTGGTGCCCCTTTCTTTTGTAAAAGGGACTTTCTGCTGGTGCAGGTGTGCGTACTGCCACGGCATGCAATGGGCTGGTGTAAATCCTCCAGGAACCCGACTTTACACTGGCTTTTCCCACCAGGTTAGGCATGGAGCACGACGGCCAGGGCAACCGCTGCGCTGATGAGACCAGCATGGGGAGCATCATGGCACCGCTGGTCCAGGCCGCCTTCCACCGCTACCACTGGTCCCGCTGCAGCAAGCAGGAGCTCAACCGCTACATTCAGTAAGTCAAGTTTAACCAAGAAGGGATGTTCTCCCTTCTAACAGCGTCACTGCCTGCATTTTGTACTCAGAGACTCGTGCGTAAAGCAAGCGGTGGACAGGTCCCCATTGGAATTGCTTGGTTTGGCCAGAATAGCAAAAATGGGTCCCTGGGAGGTTATTTTCCCTTTTTCTTCTGCTAACAGCTTTGGTTCTTTGCACGAGTCTGGATTGGTTTTGAGCTGCGGAGGCTGGAGGCAAATAGGCGCCTGATGAAAGCTGAAGATGTCAACAGAGCAGTAGTTTGCAGAAGCTCTGTGCTGGTGGACACCAGGTCCAGATCTCAAATATTTTTGCCATTTAATTTGGGCAGCCTGTGTGCTTTCCCCTTTAGGCTATAAGATGTTTTGTGCTGCATAATAAAAAGGTATAAAGACAGGCCAGGAGCTTCCTGTGTGTCAGGGCCATGAAAAGGAGCAGGAAAGCAGGTGGCAGTGGTGGTACCTGCTAGTGCCAAGGTGCTCTGTCCCCTAGGGAGCTGCAGGCAGCGGAGGGATGCTTGTCTTTGGGGGACTCTGCACAACTGGTCTTTGCTGGAAACACATTTTCCAGCCGTGGGTAGTTAGCATCAGCACCAAGATAATTCAGATTTCTCAATATCTGAATTTGGAGAGAGGGCTGGAGGTGAGGGAAGGGGTGAAGGAGGGAAATCCTCCATGTCTGACTCTGCTTTGCCTCTGCCCTGCATATCTGCAGCTCCTACGACTGCCTCCTGGATGACCCCTTTGAGCACCAGTGGCCCACATTACCTGAACTGCCGGGCATTAACTACTCCATGGATGAGCAGTGCCGCTTTGACTTTGGTGTGGGCTACAAAACATGCACGGCGGTGAGTATGGGTTTCACGGCCACATCGCCCCACCCTGGGACCCACATCCAGGTGCTGTGGGGGCGGGGACCACCGGGACTCCCCGCTGCTGTCCCAGCCCAGCTCTTCTGTACTCCCCAGTTCCGCACCTTCGACCCCTGCAAGCAGCTGTGGTGCAGCCACCCGGACAACCCCTACTTCTGCAAGACCAAGAAGGGGCCACCCTTGGATGGGACTGAGTGCTCTCCGGGCAAGGTAGGGGCCGGTCCTGCCTGCCCCCTCCTTGGGAGGGGACAGGGACACCCTCGAGGGCAGCAGTCAGTGAGTGCCCAGTTTTTAGCTGGTGTTACTCCTTATTTTCTCCAGTTTGTGCTCAGATGAGGACTTGTGGTTTTCTTCTGATTTGCCTGCTTCTGTGAAGAAGCAGGAGTTGTTTTGTCACCTGGCAAAGAAGCGGTGACATCATTGCACATCCAACCTCATGATGTCATCAGGCTTTTACTTTAGGCTCTCTTAGCATGCCTGTTAGCACAGTATGAAAGCATGGATATGTTGGAAAAGCTGCTGGCCCTTGTAGGTTTTGGGTTGTTCTTTCCTGGAGAATGGCTGGGTGTAAAGTATCCAACAACGTTTGGCAAGTTTCTATATAAATCCCAGCAATCTCTCTGAAAATGCAGCCTCCTCGAGTTCTTGAAGTTTGCCAGAAGCTTCAAAATGAGGCTTTTTGAAATGAGTACATGTGTGTTACACGTTGTGCTGGCATGTGGTGCCAGGGGACTGTAACGTCTGGACTGGGAGGTCCACAGGCGGGTCAGTGTTTTGCCCCATTGGGGACCTTCCCTGCATCTGTCGTGGTGGCCACCGAAGGCACTGTTGGCTTTTCCCCAGGGCTGTGGGTCTGGGTGCTCATTGGGTGACACCACAGCTTCGTGCCAGGCATTGTGCATGTGCGTGGGAAGTGCAGAGCTCTGGATTTCGCTTACCAAAATGCCCAGCAGCATGCTGCTGCGCTTCATGCAGAAGTTTGGGTTCATCCCCCCTGTGCCAGTGGGGAGACATCCCCAGGGCTGATCCAGTCCCGGACCCAGGTGTAATTCCATGCCTGTCCAAGGTTCTGCATGGGTAGAGAGGGACAGTTTGGCTGGAGAGGGAAAACTAGTCCAGGAACTCAAAAATATGGTGTTATGGAAAGAAAGCCAAAGGGATTTGTTTTGCGGAGTGATCTTTGCACACCCCAGGCTTTGCCTTCAGCAGCCTTTTGCATGGGTTTGTCCTTCCCCATCCTGATCTCTCCATCTGTGTGGCCAGGCAACTTGTGTATCGTCTCTGGAGCAAATCACACCTCCTCTGTTGCCTGCTTTCCCAGCTATGATTTAAAATCCAAAACACTTGCGAATGAGCAAACCCCGGAGAAAACCACGACAATATAGCCCAGCTGCCAGCTTCCTGGCTGATGTAAACCACCACTGCGCAGACTCTTCTATACCAGATTCAAGCACAGATGTGTTGGGAGCCTGCCCTGCTTATCCCTGCTCCTCTGCTGCTTTTTCTGCTGTGAATCCCGGCCGTGGAGCTCTGCTGGTCTCTCAGAGCAAAGCTGCGGGCTGCTTGTGCTCCTGAGTTGGTTGTGAGATGATGCAGCTTGCTTGTCCCCAAACCAGCCTGGATGGTAGCACTGCTGTCGCATGTCCAGGGACCACTCCTGGTCCTGCTTTCTATGGGAGGGATGTGCCCAAGGACACGATGAAGAGCACCTTCCTCCTGTGCTTTGCAAACTGCGAGCCATTTTTTCAGTGCTGTGGGGGCAGGAGGGCTCTCCTTGCTGGTGCCGAGCACTTTGGATGAGGCAGGTGCGGAGCTCTCCCCTCTTTCTCTTCCCTTCCAGTGGTGCTTCAAGGGTCACTGCATCTGGAAGACGTCGGAGCAGCCTTACAGCCAGGACGGCAGCTGGAGCTCCTGGTCCAAGTTCGGCTCGTGCTCCAGGACCTGCGGGGGAGGCGTGCGCTCTCGCAGCCGGAGCTGTGACAACCCACCGTATGTTTGGCCTCCACCTCCCTCCTTTCAGTGGGGGTGAAACCAGAAGTGCCCAAGAGCCAGAGGTTCCTTGCTCTTCCCATTGTGTGCTTGGTTGGCAGGGATGGGGACATCTGCTCCTGCATGATCTGTGCCATGCATTTGGGTGCTGAGCTGCATCACTTTTGAACAGCATCCTCCCCTGCCCAACACTCAAAAAAAATTTTCCAGCCCTGCGTATGGTGGACGCCTCTGCCCTGGAGCCACCTACGAGTACCAAGTGTGCAACGCCGAGGAGTGCCCGGGGCCCTACCAGGATTTCCGTGCCCAGCAGTGCTCCAAGCGCAACTCCTATTACACCCACCAGAACAGCAAGCATGCCTGGCTTCCCTACGAGCATCATGATGGTGAGCGGCAGCAGGTTCTAGCAAAGGAGCAGTAGCTAAATTGCCTCCCCTCCCAGAGGAGGCCACACTGGTGACTATCACCGTGGGATGGAAACTGTGCCAGCTGCACAGATGTTGGGCTGTGGAAAGCTCCTGAGCTGGCAACTAGAGTGCAATAAGCCAGCATCAAGCAGCCAGGTGTTTAAAAATCCATCTCTTGTGCTTGTCCTCAGGTGTCAGCAGAGAAACCCAGACATTGCTCTGGTTCCTGCTGTCTCAAAGTGCAGCAGAGGTGGGCTGAGAAGCTCAGCCTGTGTTGAAACCTCTCCCTGCTCCTTCTGCACTACACAGAGTAAGAGGAGAGCCCCTTGTAGCGGTAGCCAGAGATAAATCTGTTTGTGCTACTTTAAAAGTTTTATCTCCACTTTCTGTGTGCTTTGGCACGCAGAGGACTTGTTTTCCTTGGAGACGGTGGGGTGATGGCACTGTCTGCTCACTCCTGGAGCTGCACTGGGGAGCGTGCCGCTCCGGGCTGGGATGGGAGCCAGGCCTGCCTGCCTGGCTTGGTATTCCTCATGCACACAGCCAAGCATTTTGCACTGCAGTGTCACGTAGCACATCCCATCTAGTTGCCTTCTCTTAATTTCCCGAGTGTGTTATGCAGGCTCTTGAGCAGCAAACAGTCGTGGCAAAATAAGGCATGTGAATAGCCTGCGCTTTGGAAATCTGGCTGTGCTCAGGGCTACAAGCTGAGATGGGTTTCTGTCTTCAACCGCCCGAATGTATTTCCAC